GTCTTACTCACGGATTTGTAGTCCTGTTCCGACTTTCAGGAAGGAATCAGCGCTCTCTGTTTAATGGCGACGCGGCTTCACTCCGCAGGCTGGTTGATGACTCTCAGCACCGCGCTCACACCCGATGCCGTTCCGTAGCCTTTAAAAAGGCTCTTTCACAGTACCGGGGGGCGCAAAAGGTGCCCGCCGAGTCTCCTTGCTTACAGGCTTCAGCGCCTGCAATTTTAGGGGTCCCCCGCACGCCGTAGCGGGTCGGACCCGAACTTGCGGAGCAGTCCTCCCTCGGAGCTCGAGGCTAGGACCGCCATTAAACACTGGCGCCAACCGGAAGTCCATTCACACATTGCATTTTACCCACTGTCCCCTAGTCAAGTATCAATTTACCATTTTGGTAAAATCCCATGTGGCGTTAAGTCGAAGACTGTAAAGCACTTTCTTCAGCTAAGGCTGAGAAACAGTACAATTCATCACATGCATCACTCCCTTCCTCAAATAAGCAGCACCAATGTAATAAAGAGATGGACAAGCCTAGGCTGTTTAAGTGCTAAATCATAATGTTACCAAGCATATCTAACACTTCTAGTTGAATGTGTGTGTGTGTGTGTGTGTGTGTGTGAGAGAGAGAGAGAGAGAGAGAGAGAGAGAGAGTGTTAGAGTTCATATGCAATAGAAAACTGGTTTGGTAAAGGAGTACATTTAATTTTCTTTTTGCACATGAAAGAAGAAAGAGCTCATCTCGCTTTATTGGCCGAGGGAGCCGGCGTACAGCTTCCGGGTCATGTGGCCAGCATGACTAAGCCGCTTCTGGCAAACCAGAGCAGCGCACAGAAACACTGTTTACCTTCCCGCCAGAGCGGTACCTATTTATCTACTTGCACTTTGACGTGCTTTCGAACTGCTAGGTTGGCAGGAGCAGGGACCGAGCAATGGGAGCTCACCCCGTCGCGGGGATTCAAACCGCCGACCTTCTGATTGACAAGTCCTAGGCTCTGTGGTTTAACCCACAGCGCCACCCGCATCCTTATGCATTGAGTTATTAACAGTTAATGGACTGCTCTGGTTCCCAGGAAGTGGCTTAGTTATGCTGGCCACATGACCCGGAAGCTGTATGCCGACTCCCTCGGCCAATAAAGCGAGATGAGCGCCGCAACCCAAGAGTCAGCCACGACTGGACTTAATGGTCAGGGGTCCCTTTACCTTTACCTTAACTGTGAATTTACAGACTGTAAATCAACCTCCAGTTACGACAGGAGGGATTAACACCATACTGGTAAAAATGCGGGCTTAGCCCTTGCATTTGGGATTATTTCTTGGTTTTTGATGTATAGAAAGGCTTCTAATTATTGGAATAGCTTTGACAGTAATGTCCTGTAATGAGTAGGACTTTAAAACCGGGCACTTTGTAGAGGGAGCTATGACTAGCTGTACGTCAGTATGAGGTACACTGATCAAGCCACAGAGATCTTTCATTATAAAATGCCTCATAATTTTATAAAATCATTAAAGGGATGATAATACATTTTTCACCGGGGAAAATAAGTGATTGCATGAGTTTTAATTCAATCCTCTATGGTAATGGCCCATGACTGGAATTCTAAGACTGAGATGAAGTAATCTGGGTTCTGTTTGTTGAAGCCAAACAACTAAACGTGAGTGCTGTGCACAGACCCCCCAATTCTGATTCATGGCCTCAGTTTGTAAATCTGGATTGGACCTGATTCAGTCTGGACTGGTCTGGACCCGATCCTATTTGCCCTGGATCATGATCCGGAAAATACAAATCTCTAGAAATCCCGTTGAATTGCATAGCCAAACCAAAATGGCAATAACGTTCTTGTTGTTGCCCCCCCCTCCCGCTACACATAGGAGCAGGGAGAAATAATATAGGGTTGCCATATTTCAAAAAGTGAAATTTCCTTCCTTCATCTTGGTCTGGTGGTCTTGACCTTCTGAGGGAATGACGCCCACCCACGGACTGGCTGTGAGTGGCTATTTCCACATGGCAAGCCATCTACAATGGCTTTCTTGATGCCACTACATATCTTGCTATCTGGAGGCCCACAGTGGTACCACAGCGGCCATTTACGACAGCCTATATGTGGAAGCTGTTACAAGTGCCCATTGCAATTGCCCGTTATTTTTAATTTTCTCAGAGAGAAGAGTCTTCTTTTCGGTAGCAGCCTTCATTTCCAAAGGAACCGTTTGTGAACAATTTATGGCTGTGGTTCGGATTTAAAGGAAACATTGAACATAGTCGAAGTCTTCTAAAAGATCTAGGGCACCACAAAAAAAAGCAATCTTACGAAGAAAATTGTTCTCCTGGTACAGCGGGCTCCCATAGACAGGCACGAGCAATAGCATGCATATAGATATCAAGCTTTTGAAAGTTCGGGGGGTTGGTAAAATAAATAAATAAAGCAACCTGGGGGTTCACAGCCTGAGATTCTGCTAGAAAGAAAATGCCCTGATAAACCCTGGCTTTTCATTCACACCATTACTTTATGATAATATGCTCAGCCTCTTCTCATCTTCTAGCGTAGCCTAGCAGGTGTTACGAAGCACAGCAGTAAAGGTTCTTCAAGAAGTTCCTAGATTGGAAGTATTGATGCAGAGTAATAGAATGACATGGGACGCGGGTGGCGCTGTGGGTAAAAGCCTCAGCGCCTAGGGCTTGCCGATCGAAAGGTCGGCGGTTCGAATCCCCACGGCGGGGTGCGCTCCCGTCGTTCGGTCCCAGCGCCTGCCAACCTAGCAGTTCGAAAGCACCCCCGGGTGCAAGTAGATAAATAGGGACCACTTACAAGCGGGAAGGTAAACGGCGTTCCGTGTGCTGCGCTGGCTCGCCAGAGCAGCGATGTCACGCTGGCCACGTGACCCGGAAGTGTCTCCGGACAGCGCTGGCCCACGGCCTATAGAGTGAGATGGGCGCACAACCCTAGAGTCTGTCAAGACTGGCCCGTACGGGCAGGGGTACCTTTACCTTTACCTTAATAGAATGAGACCACGGTTGAACCACATAGCATTATTGGGGTCACCGACTATAGCTTCTTTTAATTGTCAGGGCTGCTTTTAAGATGCTTAACTGCGATATATTATCTGAATGATCAGTCAGGATGCTGGGTCCATACAAAACACATATACAAATATTGGGTATGAATTATGTAATGTTTGATTGAATCTGTATGCTGCCTCATAATATAAAAGTTATCTGGTCAGCTTACTATGCTGTGGATTCAGTATGGGCTTTCGGTGGCCATTTCTGATTTAATGATTACACTATAAACATATAGATATAGATGATATAGATATAAATATAGATATCCTGCTAACCTCAGGATAACATATATTCTTATCCTGTTAACCTCAGGAGCTATTAATATCTGGCCCAATGGTTAGTTCTGAACCTCTTTCCAATTTAGCACATGAGTAGGCAAACTAAGGCCCGGGGGCCGGATGCGGCCCAATCGTCTTCTCAATCCGGCCCGCGGATGGTCCGGGAAACAGCGTGTTTTTACATGAGTAGAATGTGTGCTATTATTTAAAATGCATCTCTGGGTTGTTTGTGGGGCATAGGAATTCGTTCATCCCCCCCCAAAAAAAATATAGTCTGGCTTCCCCAAAAGGTCTGAGGGACACTGGACCAGCCCCCTGCTGATAAAGCTTGCTGACCCCTGCTTTAGCACGTAAAGGAAGTTCTAAACTGGTATTGATTCCTGCAAAAGAGTCTTAAATGAATTAATCTATATGTAAGTCCATACTATTTACTGTCCTTTTAACCAAAAATCGGACTAGTGATAGTGTTGACAAGTAAATTATACAAACCTTTGTAACAACCACTCATTTTTTACTCTTCCATCATAGGTGACAACTCCCTGGGGCCCTGGGTGCTCAAGCACCCACAAAACTCCCCGTGAAGGGGCCAGGCACCCACAAATTTCAGTGCCAGGGCCATGCGCAGTGCATGGCACTCACAGCCCCAGAGACCCACAATCGCAGGGCCAAACTGGCACTCCTGTCTTCTAATTTGTCTAGCTGTTTGCTTATACTTTCACATACTGCCCCCACCTCCAAGAGGTGTCACAATTTATTGTAACACACAGGAAGTCTAATCAAGCTCTCTATTTTTATTTTGTATTATCAAATGCCAACTTTCAGAATCTCATGGTGACGGCTCCACAACTGTGCCTATGAATCTGTGTTTTCTTGTTTAACTCATACGGGGGGGGGGGGAGACTATATTTCTTATTGCTATCAACCTGGAAGCTTGACAGTAAGGATTAAAAATGGCCCCCCTCTCCCTACTTGGTTATTGGAAAGGCCCTGAAAGGTAATCTGTCTTGCAAAGCCACGCTTTACAGTCTGCATAAAAGTGCCGTGATTTCTAAGTCCTCCCTCTGACTTAATTGAAAGCGCATAATATCACACAACAGGGGAAATGTAAACTGTAAGCATACATAGTAAATCACTGCATATGGTACAAAAGCTGGTTGCTAATGGCGCCGAATGATCACTGGGGCAAAAAAGCACAATTTGAGCACACAAGTCTTTTATACTGCCAAATAACAAGTTCTTCAGAGCAGGAAGTGGGAGGGAAGAACCCACTTATTTGGTAGTGCCGCAATTGGATTGGAGTCAGGTCAATTCTGTCAATTTTGTGAAGTAGAAGCCTTTTAATAATGATTTCGATTTTATCATGACCTTGAGCAGTGGGACTAGAACTGGCGCAAATGTAAAGCGAATATACTGTTTGCATTTAAACAAATATTCCTCGATCGTTCGCAATAACTCAGCCAACCCGAGTAAAATTCCAAAAAACATTTGCAAACCGGAACACTCACTTCCGGGTTGGCGGCGTTCGGGAGCCAAAACGTTTGAGTCACAAGGCGTTCGACAACCAAGGTACGACTGTATAAATTTCATGACATAAACAAACAACATGCTATTTTGTTACATCTGCAAATATTTGCAGATGCAGTAATTTCCATGATATGAATCAATACCTCTCCACAGGAGCAGGCTGATGAGACGGCTTGTTTATCCTCGCATACAGTCCTTCAAGGTGGTCCCTGTCCACTGGCACTGGAGGGCTGTCACACCCAAAGTTTTCCGACACAGGTGGAGAAGACGGCCTGTAAGCGCTGGCAGGTGGGTACATTTCTCGGAAGTGATTGACTTGTGCGTAATTGGGGTCTGTCTCGTCGTCGTCAATATCAGGCGGAGGGCCCACGGGGCCAGGGGAATACTCGGCAAGCCCCCTGGCCTGCTTCTGCCGCAGCTCCTGGTGTTTCGCACCAATCCTAGGAGACAAAACAACAAAGCTCAGCGTTTGCACCAACATCTAGCGAAGCAAAGCATGCGACTTCTGGAGGCAACAGTTGTTTTGCATAGACAACAAAAACCACAGCTAGAACCTTAGGAAACATCTCACGCTTTATAATCAAGCTCCAGCATTTAACACAACATATATCAAGCAAGCATGTCGATCATAAATCCACCACGATTCGCAACAGATAAGTGCCCCATCGCCATCCAAGTACCGAATTTTTTGCTCTATAAGACTCACTTTTTCCCTCCTAAAAAGTAAGGGGAAATGTGTGTGCGTCTTATGGGGCGAATGCAGGCTGCAGAGCTATCCCAGAAGCCAGAACAGCAAGAGCGATTGCTGCTTTCGCTGCGCAGCGATCCCTCTTGTTGTTCTGGCTTCTGAGATTCAGAATATTTTTTTCTTATTTTCCTCCTCCAAAAACTAGGTGCGTCTTATGGCCTGGTGCGTCTTATAGAGCGAAAAATACGGGTATTTGCAACATGGTGACCCATATCCTAACTGCACAAACATGCATTACTTTGAGGATTATGAAAAAGACATCTCTATAACAGGTCCATATTAAATGCCTGACGAAAAGTAACTTCTTCTTTGCATGTGAAATAACAGATAACGTTATCAGCGCCACTTCCTCTCATTTGTGAGAAGTGCAATAATGTGGGCATATAAATGCAAGGAGGGTTTGGTTGCCTGAGGAGTCAAAAAGACCAGAGTCAGTTCACTAGGGATTTTTGGACCCCCTCCCCCACTTAAGTGGGGGACATCATACCTCATTATACAGAGGCTAGGGACAGAGTAAAACAGGGAAGAAATGAATAGAAGCCTGACAGAGATGAATTGGTACATATAAGTGAATTAAAGACTATTACTGGCAGTACTCCACTGTGATAAAGCCTTAAGTGGTATTACAAAATGTGGCTGCTAATCAGTGCCATTGTGTAATCTGCTGGGAATAGGAACGGTAAAAACATACCCAGGTATAATTTCAAACCTCGCCAAATTCAGATGATTCAACATTTGCTTTGCAACTGAAAACTTTAAACAAGGCGCTATTAATATGAAACTTAAACGTTCAGCTGCCACACTCCATAATTAAAGCAACGGAAAAGATCACAGCAGCAAGATGAGCCCTGGTACGCGGAGAGCAGGGAATGAAAGGCAAGAGACGGATTAAAGCGCAGGAAAGCTGCCAATTAAAAAAAAAGCCAGGCTTTACCCACCATTATTAAATTCTGGAGAACAGAAGATGCTCCTGGAAGCAAGTCGGTGTAGAGGATGTGCGAAAAGAATGGCGAGAGAATAATAAGTGTTTTTTTAAAGCATCAACTTTTGAAGTTGGAGGAAAATCAAGAATCAGTAAACGAGTAACTTTGGATGGCAAATTAGGGGGAAAACACACACCAAGAATTAGGTAAACTAGGCAGAGAAGAGGGGAAATAGGTGCATGAACACAAATGAGAAGGCATGAAGACATTAAAGCTTATACAGTGCTTGCTACCCAGTAAATGTAAAATTATTATACCACAGTATCTTTCACTAAGAATGATTGTGAGATCAGAGGACCTCTTCATATATCACAGGCTTTAGGTATACACCAAGGACATATCTAAAATTGAAGATGCGGGCATCGTGTAAAAGAGGTTTGCAAATCCATGTTTCATCATACAGGCACACAAGGTTACATAGCTTTGATCAGCTCCAGTTCTCCGTAAGTTGTACACTCAGTGCGAGACTTGGGTTTAGTGTTGTATGAATAGTCAGAGTGCAAACTGCAAAACCTGATGGTTTTACACGACAGTTTCTCATTCAGTGCTGGGAAACTGGAGGCAAACGCAGGTCCCTAACGCATGCAGAGACAGATAACCCATGTGTGCATTCCCCATACGAAGGGATCCATAAATCTTGAGGGAAAGTGGAGTGGGGAAGAGAGAATCACAGCTAAATGTTAACTTTGATTGTGCAAATACATCATATCTGCAACAAAAATGCCGCCTCAAGGAAAGAAGTCTGGATCTTCTGTATTAAAGAAGTAATAGTGGTGCTTTTTTATAAGGTCTTTCCAGACAAAATAAGTTTATCTCTTTAACCCATTTACTGAGTTCCCTACCTTTAAACTCATAGACAAGTTTTTTCTTGAACACTTCAAAAATCTTAGCTACCCATTTTGATCTCCCCTCCCCCTTCCTATCATCTTCATAGTCACCCAAGAAACCCTCATGGTAGCAGGATATCACAGCCCATCAGGATTTTGTATGGGCTGCAGGATTGTGCAGTATCTCCCCTAGTCCCCCATCGTTCTGCCCGGACACTGAGGTCCAGCACCGAGGGCCTTCTGGCGGTTCCCTCACTGCGAAAAGCAAAGCTACAGGGAACCAGGCAGAGGGCCTTCTCGGTAGTGGCGCCCGCCCTGTGGAACACCCTCCCATCAGATGTCAAAGAGATAAACAACTACCTGACATTCAGAAGGCATCTGAAGGCAGCCCTGTTCAGGGAAGTTTTTAATGTGTGACATTTTAATGTATTTTTAATCTTTGTTGGAAGCCGCCCAGAGTGGCCGGGGTACAGATAATAATAATAATAATAATAATAATAATAATAATCTGCTTTGGTTCAAACTCAAAAGCCAGATGGCGTGGCCAAAGATGCACCTACTTTTTTGGGGGGGGGAATCAAAAGAAAAAAAAAAAAAATTAAGGGGACTGAGCAGAGCCTGCATGCATCCGGCTCTGCTCAGAGCTCCTTTATCCGAAGGATGTGTGTGCGGCGCTGCAGCTTTTCTCCGAAAAGCCCCAAGAGCCACACCACACACCACACACAAGTCTTTAAGTACGCGGCTCTTGGACTTTGCGGATGGGGAAAGGAGAGAGCCTCGCAAGGGAGGCCGTATCCCTGGATTTGCTTCTGCTGGCCCGAGCTGTGGGGTGGTGGTGGGGATTCCCCACACCCAGCCCAAGAGCGTCAGGCTTGGGGGAAGCCGGTCCCCCAGCCCCGGAACCACACATCGCTCATTCAAGATATTTCCCCTAGATTTTAAAGGGAAAAAGTGCGTCTATGGAGCAAAAATACGGTATGTGGGGCTCATAAGCTAACTCTAATTATACATTAAGGGGTTAAGACGCACAGAGTAAGTTTATACTGCCAGGCTTAGCTAGCTTTCACCCCTCCTCACTTTGGAATGAAGCCTTTGTTCATTATCATTCAACCATGTGAACTCTACCAGCAAGGTCTAAACTGGGTGCTCAAAGCTTAGACCATGCGGCTTAAGTAAGCCACATTTGCGTTTATATACCAATAATTTAGAAACTCTTGCCATTTTGGAATCTAAGTTATGCTGCCTATATTTTCTTGCTATGTGGAAAAACACATGAATCTGACCTTTGGAGGGTTTGTAAGTAAACCACTTTTAACTTACCAAACGTGTGGTCTCTTTCTACGCTAAGGGAACTTTGGAAGCGACATAGAAGGGGATGTTTTAAAGGTCGAACATTTCCATGCTTTACTTTGCTGCATGATTTGTGATTTTAAATCTCTGCTGGGGTTCTCCCACCAAAGAATACCTGCCCCAAACCTGGTTCTAGGGCATTCTCCTTTTATGACGCCATACTACATTTCCCCATTTCCCCAAACCCAACAAGTTAGCCCTAACCGATGGTTAAGGGCCAGTGCCAAAATAAAGGCAGATGGGGCTCGCTTGCCGAAGGGAGTGGTTTGGAAAGAAAACCCATTATCTATTTCTGATCCTTTAATCATGAGCACAAACACCCTATCTGCAATCACTGTAATGCCCCTATAAGGTAAAGGGTAAAGGGACCCCTGACCATTAGGTCAAGTCGTGGCTGACTCTGGGGTTGCGGCACTCATCTCACTTTATTGGCTGAGGGAGCCGGCGTACAGCTTCTGGGTCATGTGGCCAGCATGACTAAGCCACTTCTGGCGAACCAGAGCAGCGCATGGAAACGCTGTTTACCTTCCCACCGGAGTGGTACCTATTTATCTACTTGCACTTTGATGTGCTTTCGAACTGCTAGGTTGGCAGGAGCAGGGACTGAGCAACGGGAGCTCATCCCATCGTGGGGATTTGAAGCGCCGACCTTCTGATCGGCAAGTCCTAGGCTCTGTGGTTTAACCCACAGCGCCACCCGGGCATTCTCCTTTTATGACGCTGTACTACATTTTCCCTTTTACCCAAACCCAACAAATTAGCCCTAACCGATGGTTAAGGGCCGGTGCTAAAATAAAGGCAGATGGGGCTCACTTGCCGAAGGGAGTGGTTTGGAAAGAAAACCTATTATCTATTTCTGATCCTTTAATCATGAGCACAAACACCCTATCTGCAATCACTGCAATGCCCCTATACAGAATGCTTATTGTTAAATAGAGGGAAGAACAAGCCTCTAGGTTGGCAGGGGTTTTTTGGGTGGGGTTTTTTTTGCATTCTTCAGATGCAAGTAATCCCCAGAAAGTTGGAAGAGCTGTAAACAAACAAAAATAGGATTAAGGAGAGGCTTTGAGGTTGCCACAGATAAAAAATAAAGAATGAACATCTCCTTTTATTTCTAAAATGTAACAATCCCTAGCACACAAGTAATTAGTGAACAGATTTCCCCCCGAAAAAAATAAATAAAATGAAAGAGGCTCAATTCTCCGAGGGTCACTGAAAGAAAGGTGAAAGAAAGATCACATAACAGCGAGAGAGAGAGAAGCAGAGGCCCGGTCTGCCCATTCAATGTCTTGATGGAACAAATGCATGGATATATATGTAGAAAGTTAAAACCCGATCAATTTTTGTCAACAGAAACAATCCTTCCTGGGAGAGTGGAGCCTATGGATCCCATTGCCGGTGAATGCCTGCCGCATGGCAACAACCAAGATGGATTTCCATTGCAAATAAAGGTAAGAAACGTCAATACCAAAGACATTGGGGGGGGGGGAACTGAATGGATGCTCTCTAGCGCTCTCTTACACACAGAGTGC